TTTGGAATGGTACGACACTGATTCGGTGTTGGGAAAATATTCTACGCAGCAACTTGTGAGGCCGAGCGCTGTCATGCTATAACAGTTAAACAATTTGATGCAGTTCAGGAAGTTTTCGTGGTCGAATATGTCCAACTACACTCATGGACAAAACTTAATGAAGTTGTACCTTTTAGCATGTATATCGGTATTCAGACAATAACTCTGAAAGATATTTGTAGACAGTGACATTTATTGAAGACTCATGAAGTGTGTAGTGTGTACAAAATCACCTCTGTCTCCTTAAAAAAAAAAAAAAAAAAAAAAGGGACGACTGGCGACATTTCACTTCCTTAAGTTTTTTCCATGAATGAAGGTTCTTCAAAACTCTCTCTCTCTCTATCACTTCCCATACACTTTTATGAGGATGCACCTCATGTTGGTTAACCAGTCAACGAAGGAAATCATCACTGCATTTACTGATGACTGAAAACCCCATGGGCCTTTTTTGTTGCGGTATATTCAGAAGTTTTCCAGGCTGTGCTCGCCAGTGTGACCTCAATATCGTATTGCTATGGCCAACTCTCATAGCCACTGATAATGGAATTCAGGCTCATTTCAATGCACTATCCTCTGAAGTCCTTATCCTATTTGCTTCTGTGCAGTTGTTAATAACTTCGGCTATTATATTGCACAGACAGGTCTATAGGCAATGGTGAGTTGTTTAAAATCACCGCGATCTTCCCCAATATGACGTCTGTTGTGTTGATCATGATCTTATTGACTGCAATCCTAGCTTTATCGTCGAAAAAACGGCCCACTTCGAGCATTTTAAGCTACCAAAATCGGTTGACTGTGGTAAAACATCTTCATCAAATGCCTGTCTAATTTAATGACGGTCTGGGAAGCCCATCGTCCTCCCCACCGGCCCCCAAAAAAGTTATATATACAGTAGAACCTCCCTGTAAAGGACACCTAATTGCAGATCCAAAGTGTCCTTTAGGGAGAGGTGTTCTCCTACCGGAGAGTTGCTAAATAGTAAAAATGATAATTTTACAAATGAAAACTGTCCTTTCTAGAGAGGTGTCCTCTAGCACGAGTGTCCTTTCATGAAGGTTCAATTGTATATATTTTAAATTTAGATAAACTCAGGTTTCTGGAGGGTAAGAAGTCGCCAACTACCTGGAGTATGGTTCAAAAATTCCTGTGGCTCCAACGCTTGCAACATTTATTCAGTATATTTTCATCATACAAAGGAATATAGAAAATGCCACAGTAGTTTCTCCTTGGCTTCCCTACGTGGACCAACACAAGACAGTAGCTTGCCAGAAATTACATCTCCTTCATTACCACGCCATAGTGCCACTACTCTGGCTGACATGCAAGAGCTATGATTTCCCATCATCAGCCCAATAATAACAGTTATTTATTTGATTGATTGCAGGCTTCTGGAGCGACTATACAGATGTCGGAAATTTCCCGGATTGTCCTTCCAGAATTGGTTTTGAGAATTTTATATCCAATTTAAAAGGTGACACGCCAGGATCTTTTTCCATAAAAAGTTTTTCAAGGTTGGCGAGTTTAGGTTGGGAATTTCTAGTAGGGCGGCCGTTTGGCATTGAAAGGTTGGGACAGGGATGATGTACACCTGCCGATCTACCACAACTAGATATGCTAGGTGTGCAAGGCAATGACTGGATAGCCCCGGTTAAGACAGATTAAAATGTTCCATGCAGACAATATATTGGAAATCACCTCGATATTGAGCTCCGTAACAATCTCAACAACCAATTCCCAACTGTTCCAATCCACCCATTCTCCTCAGACAACAACGATTTATTTCTCCCGCATGTACCATACGCTTTATGCCAACTCCACACACCACGTCTTACTAAAACGAGAGAGATTTACAAAGATTTTTAAGACAATGTTATATATTAAGAAATGGCATCTCCTGATCGTGCAACTAAAAGTGGCTGATGGCTTGCGCTATCTGTCGGAGATGCATTTTTCACAATTTATCCACCTTATTTTCACTTTTATACTATTTTCACATAGTTTGGCGTTCTCACGCATTTCCGGCCTGAATACCTGTTTCGTGATTTTTCAGGATGCCCCAAAAACCAGCTTTTTTGGTCGTTGAGGTACAGCTCGCACCAATCTGATAAGGGCTAACTGCCCGGAACGTGTACGTGGTTAACTTTTCTTGATTAATCGATGGTATTTTCCCCTGATTATAAAATAATTAAAATCAACGATTAGTTGATATTTATTCCGACAAAAGGCTCAAGCTATCAGCAACATTTAGTTGCACGATCGAGAGATGCTCTTTTTTCTTAATTTATCCACCTGATCCCAGTACAATTTCACTTTTGTACTAATTTTTACAATTCTATATACAGTTACGAGCGTCATTCCTCATCGGCCTCTGTCACCGTTTGCTTTTTTTCTGGAATGGCGCCCTCCTATTGGTTGGCTACGGTCACGCCACCTTTGCCCCCCCCCCCCCCCCCCCCGCCATCATGCCTCCCCCCCTCGCTCTTTCGTTTTTGTAACTATTGGTTTGGAGCGGGTCGCTCTTTAAATAAACGCATATATTAGTTAATAACTAAATGGAATCCTCTCTTTCCTTTTCCCAGTAAGAGACGCCTACGGAAGCCAACAGTACATAGACAAATAAAGCACATAGGCTATAGTTATTAACTAATGTATGCATTTATTAAAGGCGCCAAATTTATAATTGTAACAAATAGTATTTGAATAAAAACATTCAATCGGGTAAAACACGGGCGTTGCCATTCGGCTAGTGATTATATATGGATTAAGATTTATATATAGATTGGCAGGTAGATAGAATCCTACTAACTGGGATAAGATCGGTAGCTAGGTTTGTTTTAATTTGATAAATTAAAACTCCTTTACTTTTTAATTCTGAGACTAGGGTTTAGCTTGTGCGTTTAATGACTCAAAGAATTAAAAAATGGATGATGCATCATTTTTAGAAATAGTTTCTGAGAAAAGGTGGTTCTGTATTCGCTCAGATTCTTGCAATAAAAAATAATGTGTTCGGCGATTGCATCATTATCGGATACACAGAAAGGACAGGCTGGATCATCTATTTTACCAATTCTGCTCGAAAACGTATTGCACCAAGTATGGCTAGTCGCTAAACCTACTGTAGATTTAGAATAAGAAGAGATTGAGTGGTTTCTTCTTAAAGATAATGGCGAAAAGCCAAACTTTAAAAAATGATTTTGGTCTTTGATTCAAAAATATTTCCCCAGATTTCTCAGTTTTACTCTTCAACTTTTCTTTTTATAAACTACGAATGGCCCGGGCAACGCCCGGGTTTTACCCGAGTGCGTATATATTTTAAAAACGTTTTAATTCAAATACTATTCGTTACAATTATAAATTGGCGCCATGGATGTCACTCTTGTGAAACGTCCCGTTCCAAACTGTGTGTTTTTAAAATGTTTTAATTAAAATACTATTCGTTACAATTATAAATTTGAACGATAGGCTCATTATTTCTTTATACCGTTATTATACCGTTATATTATATTTATTATATATATATTACACGTTATTTGTTTTCTTGGCCGACTGTTTTACATATGGTGTTATCTTAAAATTGCTTGTTTTGAATATTTTTTAGATTGAGATTATTAGCTAGTATGTAAAAAAATTTACTCTGTTGAAATTTAATTTTGTATTTATATATAAATAAAATTAACTCTGTTGATTTTTTATTGTATTTAATCGATAACAGCGAAGTTACGCATGTTAATGTTAGGGAAAAATATTTTGATGTTAAGCAAAACCTGCTCCATCTCGTTTTACATAAATGTTGAAAATTTGGTCGAAATTGATGCATTGTAACGAAAGTTTTTAGTGAACAACACTTATGAAATTTGCATTTTATTAATATAGATTTAGAAATCACATAAGGTAATAAGATTAAATCCAAATAAATAAATAGTGTGTGACGTTTCAGTAACAGCGTTGTTACCGAAACGTAACACACTATTTATTTATTTGGATTTGGTTTTATTACCTCGTGTTTATAATCTATAATCCAAATTGTGATTTATTATTTAGGAACAAGTTTATATGTTTTAAGAAGAGAACATAAAGTCGCCTTCCTAGCAAGATCGCATTCCATATTGTTGCCTTTACAGTTACTGTGGCCCTTGACTCAAATAACTGATATTCTGTTTCCTTGATTAATTGTGCTTGTAATGTTCAGATATAATCTATAATGAGTTTATTTTTATAGTTCTGAGATAATTTACAGATGAAACTACAGCCTTGTTGTCCATCTTCACAGCAATGTTTAGGTGCATAGGCAGTGAACTCGCATCCTCAAGTATTCTAATTAAGGCTATCGCTTCAGCCTGAAATACAGAATCCTTGTTAGATATGGTCAACAATTCTCCTCAGATCACTGCTCTATCCTTTTTATTGACACTATAATTATTTTGTGCGAGATTTATCAACAACAAATTGAAACAGTTAAAAAGATAACTATTACAAGAGAAGGAATCGCCGGATATAATTTCTAAGAAGAAATAAATGACAACGAAATTCTTTATTAAAGCGATATATTCTTGGCGAGATTTCGGACTGTGATGTCCTTCAATTCGTGTAACAGCCTGTTGTCATAGTCCCAAAGCCTGCTGTTTAATTTAGTTAGAATATTTATGTTTATATAAAGGTTTAATATAATTTTTCTATGATTGTGTAAATATTCATTGAATTTATCATCATCATTTTTTTTGTTTACAAAAATGTTATATGAAAAATAAAGTAATGTAATTGAACGAAATGGTTGCCCTCATGTTTACTGATCCAATGTTTTAATAATCTAAGGTTTATGTTGTAAGAAAATTATACATTGAGAAGAATTATACACCTGCCAAGATTATATCGCTTTAAAAAATATTCTCGTCGCTTTTAGCTTTTATTCCTTCTTAGAAAATAATAACTATTCCTATATATAACAACTGTAACCATTATCGTCTTTGTGTGGGTGGCAGTTTTGGTTTTCACCCAGAAGGCCCGGGTTCAATTCCCGGCTTAAGAACATTTTTTGGGCTCAAATATAAAACATTTTGGTAAGTAGCCCGTAAAACCATATTCTCTCTTATCGTGCTATGCTATCAGAAATTTTAGGATACACTAATTTATAAAATTTCCGTAAAAAATTTTAAGGTTCGTCTCTCCCCAGCCTTTGACCCGCCATGACACAAGGTCAGACGACGAGGGCATCTGATGGAGAAAAGAAAGTTTAGGGTTCGATTCTCTGACGGTTCTATATTCTTCTTTTACATCGAATTAAAAAAAACAACAATATTTTCAAATATTAACTTATGGACATAAGGAAGCTGTACCTTTTAATATGTATATTGGAATTTAGACAATAACTTTGAAAGATATTTGATACACCGTGACCCCCCCTTTATTGAAGACACACGAGATAACCAAGTGTGGACAAAATTGCCTCTGTCTCTTTCATTGAGTTCCTCAAGTTCTGTTTATGAGTGTATTATTAATGATTCACTTCATCCTGTTTTTTTGTCTTTATTCCCGACGTTTTAGGGACCCGCTGCCGCCTTTAAAAAGAAAAACATTGCCAAGATGTTTACTTGTTGGAATTCTATGGAATTCTATATATATATATAAATGAATGTATGTGTGTGTGTCCTTTATGCCTGACCAAACCACTCATTGGAACGCCATGAAACTTTGGGAAGTTATTTAGTATAGTACTGGGAAGGTTTCTAGCAAATAAAAATTTTTAAATAACTTTTCGCCTAAAAATAATCAAGATAAATATTCTAATTTATCTGTTACTAGCGGACGTACCCGGCTTCGCCCGAGGTTTTACACGAGTAAAGGTTTGTCTAACGAACATTTGGTAAAACAATTCTCTATAAACTTATAAAAATATATATATATATTTTGATAATTTGAAACTCGTAAATTTGAATCTCTCGATAAAGTGAACATTTTTTCCCGGTCCCTGTGTGCCGTGTCATCCTGAATTTTGTTTTCATATTTTTCTACATTACACAATCATCGTTTTATCTAACGAACATATTTTCCCGGTCCCTTGAAAAATACTCGATAAGTTGAATAAAATCATGGTCGTTTATGGAAGATGGACGTAGTTCCCGGAGGTCACCCGCCCCCCGCGCGCCAGGACCTCTTGATCACTCTGATTGGCCAGCGGCCGGACGGGGGGGAGGGGGCTCTTGATCCCTCTGATTGGTCGGTGGGAACTTGGAATGTCCAACCAACTGGCCGGCGGCCGGACGGTGGGGGGGGGGAGGGGCAGATCTTTGTTGCAAGATGGCGTTGCTTGCGAGTTAAAGCTACAAATCTGCAAATAACTCTAAGGATATTAAAGATATTCAAGAAATTATTTTTCGTAAACCTTTCCGGAGATACACCTAATAATATCCCAAAATTTCACGGCGATTGGATGTATGGTTTTTGAATCCATAGAGGACACACAAACAGACACACACACAGACATTCAATTTTATATATATAGATAATTCAACAATCTGCTCTAAATATTATCATGATGATACGAAAATTTTGTAATGTAGAAAATTAGGAAAGACAAAATTCAGGATGACACGGCAATTTATTTGAGACAAGAATAATGATACAATTCCAAGGCAAGATGCTATTCCTTTAACTTCCAATTACCGAGGGAACCAAATAATATTGATTTTATTCAACTTATCGAGTATATTTCAAGGGAACGGGAAAAATGTTCACTTTATCGAGATATTCGTTAGACAAACCTTTACTCGGGTAAAACCCGGGCGAAGCCGGGTACGTCCGCTAGTATATATATATATATATAAACAAAAACAAAAAGGGGTAGATCGCGCAATGCGACCATATCTTGAATATAATGAAATGGACACGAATTTTCCTTGAAGAGGGCAACAGCGGTCTCTGAAACGTCGATACTAAAGACTAAGAAAGGTTTAAGTGAATTACACATTAATCATATTTATAAATCCAACCTGCAAAAAAGTTTAGCATACACATATCCTATTCAAAACATAAAGTTTTTATACGGTGCAATATTTTACCCTAATAAAAACAGTAAATATGGAGCTGACATGTTTATACAGGTGGTAGATTGTAATTACGTTGGAATGTGCGATTTCGTCCAGATGGTGTTGTGCCACCCTGATCAACCTTGAGTCTTCGCAACGTGCGACCTCTAAGACCAGCGGCCAAATCTTGTAGCCGTGGTGCCGCTCTGATTATTACTTTGATCCTTCGCAGCGTGCGGCCTCAACGGCCAGATATTGCAGCCGTGGTGCCGCTCTTATCTCGAGCCTTCGCAACGTGCGGTCTCAAGACCAGCGGCCAGATCTTGAAGCCATGGTGCCGCTCTGATCATTGCCTTGAGCCGTCGCAACGTGCAGCCTCTAAAACCAGCGGCCAGATCTTGAAGCCATGGTGACGCTCTGATCATTACCTTGAGCCGTCGCAACTCGCAGCTTCAAAGACCAGCGATCAGATCTTGCAGCTGTAGTGCAGATCTGATCATTATCTTGAGCCTTCATAACGTGCAGTCTCTAAAAACATTGTCAGATTTTGAATTTTTGCGTTGTCCTTATAATTTATTTGGCACTTCTCAACATGCAGAAAAATACTGGTGTCAATTTTTATATTAAGATAAATATTTGTAACTTTATCTTGGCTTGGGATTCAAACTTTTTCCTATTTCTATACACTCAATAATTTTGATTTCAAAGCTATTAATCTTTTAGCAACTATCTGAGAAAAATTTATTTAGGTAAATATTTAGCCCTCCATTGTTGTTGATGGGGTGTGATACTCTAAAAAAACAACATTCCTAAAAACATATTTATATATTTTACAATTATATAATATTGTTCCTCTAAACATCTTAACCAATTCACTAAAAACTATCTATAGAAGCAAGAACTCCAAATGAAACTTCATTTCTCTTAAATAATAGATTCCCAAAAGCACACACTAAAGAATTTTAATATTTTACTTTGAAAACAACAATTCCACATGTGGAAAATGTAATTTAGATTTATTTATCTCTAATTTTTCATAAAGGTTCCAAACTCTAGTTGAAAAAAAAAATTAAAGGATGCTGGTATTATAGAATTAAAGGGCATGAATATGCCCCAATCCCATCTCTGGAAAATTCGAAAAAGGTTAATAAAAACAGGTTGACTTTTTCAAATTTGTCAAAGCTGGTGTTGTGGCTTGTTCACCGAACTGAATCCGCTCGCTTTGCGAAGAAAAATTCGACCAAATGTACATATTTAATGCCTTTTATAAATGGAAACGTGCTATCTTTATTGGCCCTAAATTTTATATATACAGAGGGTGTTCCATTTTTACAAGAATGATTTTAGTTCTTTATTAAAAATAAATTACGAATGGTTTGTATAACTTATTGTTCTCTATGTGTAATCCTTGACGTTTAGCAACAGCCCTGCATCGATGTTTCCTGGAAATAAAGCTTCGTCTTAGAATATTTTTATCACGACCATCCCAACAGTCCATAACGACTTTTTAGAGACAATCTAGCGTCTTTGACATTTAGTATAAGAGCAGTTTTCAGCAAGAAAAAATCACAAAAATCCAAGAGGTCAAGTCTGGAGATTTGGCAGGGATGTGCTTAAAAGGGATGTACGAAATGCCGGTTTCATCCCTCTTTCCGTCCAGGTATTGACGTGTTGAACGTGATGTATGACTTGTGTCTTTATCCTGGTGCAGACTCACTTGAGTCACTTGAATACAGAAACGAGACCTCATAAGACAAGTTTTTGGTAGAATTGCGAATTCATCTTGACATTTTGGTCCACCTTCTTTATTGGAAGCTTCCCATTGTAGCAGAAAGTTGCAACGATGAAGCCCTTTGAGAAAGTTTTTTTGCATTGCTTGACCCAGTTCTGAAAGGTTTATTTGAGAGTTAGAGCAGTAAATGGCACGGGGTTGGTTGCTATCATTGAGGTAAACTCATGCCTCGTCCAGTGTAACAACATTATTCCATCTTCCAGGTACTTTTCATAAAGGGCTTTGCTGCAGGTCTTGCGTTCCTCAATATGGTGCGGCTTTGGTATATGAACTATAGACTTTTTATGTATTTTAAGCCGAATTTTCTTTGATAATACGGTTAACGGTAGAAAGTGGTACGTTGGTTATTGTGGAAATTTACCTTTGAGAAGGTGAATTCTCTCTAACAACCATTTCGTTCATCTTTCTTTTGGTTGGAGTTAAAGGCTTCTTAAGGCAATTAAGATTCTTTATTATTTGATTGATTGTGAATTTAGCGTAATAACAATATTCTTCAATATTTTGATAATTTGGATAAATATGTATTTCTCCTTAGAGAAATTTGAGGTATTTCGAATTTTTAAAAATATATATATTTTTCATGAAATATAAATCAATGCTTGTTCTTCTGAATAAATAAAACATTGCTCCAATCCGTACATATTTTCCGAGCTACAACGTTACAAAATCGGTCTTTTATAAATGCTACACCCTCTGTGGAGAGTGAAACCTGCAGATATTTTCCTCGTAACAATCCACAAGTATAGTGTTTAAACCTGTAATTATTAGCCTTGGATTAGACTTGCCTTACTTTTAGTAAATTATACACAGCTCACAATCTTGTAGTTTTTCTCCTACAAGGTTGTTGAGTTCGATTTACTAAACGTACGTCCTTCAAACCTGTAAAAGGTCTTTCTTGAAATTAGACTCGAGAAAAGGTTAGAGTAGTGGTATCTTGACGGGAGGATTCTCGCAAAGAAAACCTCTCATGAACGACCCATCTGATCCACCTCCCTGAACGACCATCGTTGTAAAATAAAACAGGAGAGACATAGGCAAACAAAATTCAAACCCCAATAAGAGAAAATATCCAAAAGAGATGGGGAATTATGAAATAAGAAAATCTCGTATGTGTATTGTACGGGGATAATTTTGAGTCAGAACTAACTCACTATATATTTACCTGCAATAATCTGTATGAAGAAAGAAAATTACTTTTTAATAATACGAGTT